GGGCTGCTTCTTGATTTTAATTTAATTCACACGGTTTAAAGGTGATAGATTAATGACTATCACAAGTGGTCAATTTGCAAATTGTGCTTGATCCTGTTGTGTTGCTGATTGTATTAACTGGGATAAAGGATTGTGATTGATTTAATGAGTTGTTTTCTCAGATATTCTGAAAATGAGAAGGTCTATGAGTCATTAGAGACTCAAAGGCTAAAGCACAAATATATCAGGAAGATTTAAGTAATAACCCAGAAATTAAACCAAGGTCAACTCAACAACAAAAATAAAAATTAGAAAACACTTAACCAAGGCACAAAGACAGACTTTCAGTTCACCAATGGCAAACAGTTGGGAAAATGAGGATGAAAAGTCTGATAGTGAACCAGCAGGACACCCTGAACCCACAGCACAGGAAGTAACAAAACAGATAAATCAGGCTCTAGAAAAATTCAAAACAGAAATAATTTCCCAGATAACCATAGAGATGGTGAGCAAAATGGAAGTCATGATTCGAGACTCTAGAACAGAAACTGAGAAAAAAAAAGATGAGCTCAGGACCATGATAGAAGCCATGAAGGCCCAGCATAAGAAAGAAATGGAAACAATGAATGCCCAACATAGGAAAGAAATGGAATCCATAAAACAGATTCAAACAGATATCCAGGAGATTAAAAACTCTATTGAAAGTGTACATAACAGAATAAAAGATTGCAAAGACAGAATCTCAGATATAGAAGATAGGATTGCAGTCAGTGACCGTGAAAAGAGAGGTTTCTTAAAAACAGTAAGGGATCACGAGAAATCAATCCAACAACTCCTAGATGATGCAGAGAAGAATAACATAAGACTGATAGGAATCCATGAAGTAGCAGGAGAAAACACAAATGACTTAAAAAAACTGTTCACAGAATTAATGACAGAAAACTTCCCAAACAGGAGGAAATAATTAGATATACAGATAAGTGGGCATATAGGATAGGACTCCAACTAGCCACCACAAAAAAATCTACACCTAGACATATAATAATCAAGATCCCAGAAACCAATAGAAGAAGAAAATACTACATGCAGTAAGAGAAAAGAAACAAATCACATACAAAGGAAAGCCCATCAGAATCACAGCAGACTTTTCAACACAAACCCTCAGGTCAAGGAGAGCCTGGAGTGAGGTATTTCAAGTCCTAAAAGAAAACAACCTCCAACCTAGACTGATGTATCCTGCAAAACTCTCTTTCAAAATGGATGGGGAAATAAGACACTTCCATGACAAAGAACACCTGAGAAACTTCATAAACACCAAACTAAACAATATCCTAGAAAAAGACAATGAAGGTCACAACACCATAAGGCCCAACAGAGCAAATCCAGAAGGCAAGGCAAGAAACTAAAAGGAGAGGGCAAAAATCAAAAAGTTAACAAAAGGACAATAACATGACAATAATAAGTCAGTAATATCAGTTATAACCATCAGTGTCAATGGCCTCAATTCACCAATGAAGAGAAATAGACTCGCACAATGGATTAAGAAGCAAAATCCAATAATATGTTGTATACAAGAAACACACCTAGTACAAAAAGAAGCCCATAGACTGAAAGTGAAAGGATGGAAAACAATTCTGCATGCCATAGGAGCCCAGAAAAAAGCAGGGATAGCAATCTTATTCACACACAAAGTAAATTTCAAACCAAAACTGATTAAGAGACAAAGAAGCCCACTACATCCTTGTAAAAAGAACAATTCAAGAGGAAGAGATGACAATCATAAACATATATGCACCAAATATTAATGCGCCCAACTATATAAAACAAATATTAAGTAACATGAAAAACCAAATAAGCACTAATACAATTGTAGTGGGGGATCTAAATACCCCACTATCACAAATAGACAGATCATCTAGGCAGAAAATCAACAACGAAATACTAGAACTCAACCAAGCTTTTGAATGCATGGACTTAATAGACATCTATAGAGTCTTCCACCCCACAAAATCAGAATATACATTCTTTTCAGCTGCACATGGGTCATTCTATAAGATAGAACACATACTAGCTCACAGAACAGGTCTGAATAAATGCAAAAGAATCAAAGTTATCCCCTATATATTATCAGATCATAGTGCAAATCAAGCTGGAGATCACAGCATAAGAAACCGCAGGAACTTCACAAACACAAGGAAATTGAACAACACTCTCCTGAATTATCAATGGATCACAGAGGAAATTAAAGAAGAAAGCAGACAGTTTTTACAAATAAACAAAAATGCCAATACAACATACAGGAATCTATGGGACACAAAGCAGTTCTACGTGGAAAATTCATAGCACTGAATGCCCGCACTAGGAAAACAGAGTGAGCTCAAATAAAAAACCTCATGATGAATCTTAGATTACTAGAAAAACAAGAGCAAGAAAAACCCAAATCTCGAACAAGAGAGGAAATTATAAAGATTAGAGCAGAAATCAATGCAACGGAAACTAAGAAAACAATACAAAAAATAAATGAATCAGAGAGTTGGTTTTTTGAAAGAATAAATAAAATCAATAAACTCTTAGCTCACCTATGTTTATAGCGGCACAGTTTGTAATAGCTAAAACCTGGAAACTGCGCATTTGCCTATCAGTTGGAAACTGGATAAAGAAGATGTGTTTTTTCTATAAAATGGAATACTACTCAGCCATAAAGAATTAGAAATTAGATTCATTCATAGGAAATTGGATACATATTGAGGATATACTTCTAAGTGAAATAAGTCACACATGTGCAAATACCAAATAGTTTCTCTGGTGTGAAAAACTGTAATAGTACGTCCCTATATATTATCAGATCATAGTGCAAATCAAGCTGGAGATCACAGCATAAGAAACCGCAGGAACTTCACAAACACAAGGAAATTGAACAACACTCTCCTGAATTATCAATGGATCACAGAGGAAATTAAAGAAGAAAGCAGACAGTTTTTACAAATAAACAAAAATGCCAATACAACATACAGGAATCTATGGGACACAAAGCAGTTCTACGTGGAAAATTCATAGCACTGAATGCCCGCACTAGGAAAACAGAGTGAGCTCAAATAAAAAACCTCATGATGAATCTTAGATTACTAGAAAAACAAGAGCAAGAAAAACCCAAATCTCGAACAAGAGAGGAAATTATAAAGATTAGAGCAGAAATCAATGCAACGGAAACTAAGAAAACAATACAAAAAATAAATGAATCAGAGAGTTGGTTTTTTGAAAGAATAAATAAAATCAATAAACTCTTAGCTCACCTATGTTTATAGCGGCACAGTTTGTAATAGCTAAAACCTGGAAACTGCGCATTTGCCTATCAGTTGGAAACTGGATAAAGAAGATGTGTTTTTTCTATAAAATGGAATACTACTCAGCCATAAAGAATTAGAAATTAGATTCATTCATAGGAAATTGGATACATATTGAGGATATACTTCTAAGTGAAATAAGTCACACATGTGCAAATACCAAATAGTTTCTCTGGTGTGAAAAACTGTAATAGTACGTAAGATCATAATGAGATAACTGACAATGTGAAATAGGAAGAAAAGGGCTAAAGGTGTAGGGAAAGTGGGAAGGGTAGGGGAAAGGTAATAAGGGAAAAGAAAAAAATACTAGAAAACGAAAAAAAGGAAATGAAGCATTTGTAGAGGGAGGAGGGGGTGAAGGGAGGGCAGGGACAAAGGGAAAAAATGAGAACCAAGACCTGTCATGTAAAGGTACAAGATCCCAATAATGAATGTAACTGTACTGTATACCTAAAATGTACCAATAAACTGAATGAGGAAAAAAAAATAAAGATGATCAACATAAATTATAAAAGGAGGTTTTTGTTCTTTTTTTAAAACTTCTGAGAACTACTGATCAATGCTGTTTATATAGTCAAAGTAATTTTCACAATTTGAGAGATTACTAGCATAGATTTAAGATAGTAATTTCTATTTGAAAAAGAAACAGTGCATGACGTTCATTAAATTTATGCTATTTTAGTAACATTTATAATGTGGTGTTCACTTTATAGTTGTAGTTAAAAAGGTTCCTTTCTATTTCAAAGTCTCTGAGTATTAGAAAACTTTATTTTTAAGATTGGAGAAAGGAATCATAGCTTTTAATACAGAATGAATTCCTTTAAGAAAATAACCTAAATAATATATTTTTATAAAATTCCAAAGGAAAGAAAATGCAAGTGCTGTATAATTTTAGAATTAATCTGGAAAAGCCGCTAATGTGTGTAAGGCTAATCCTTCCCACATACCCCATCTTCTAAAAGGGCAAAGATTATAAAGACCTTGATCTACAGAAACAAGATTTCACTTATCATTTTGATAAATCACAAAATAGGATGAATTAAATATTATCTAATTTTATAAGCAATTGATCAGCCTTAGATAAAATTTTAATCTATGATAAAGGATGGACAACAAGCCTAGAAGTTTGCCTCAAATGTACCTGAATGCAATGCATTACTAACATATTTATGATGTGGTATAAACCTACTGTCCTGGAAGTCACATACAATTATGTATATACATAACACTTGACAAGGATAATAGATGACAGTATTGGTTTATGTATTTACTATGCTTTTTGTTATTTTTCAATGTATGCCTTTTATTTATTAAATAAAAGATTATGCTGCCATGCTGTGTGACATCAGCCTCATACAGCTCAGGTGCCTACTGTGGCTCTCATTTGCATTATGAAGCCACATTAAGTGACTAACCTATACCATTTAGGTTTGTGTAAGTGCACTCTATATTGTTCACAAATGCATTTACCAGAACACATCTTCATTGTTCAATGATGCATGACCTTATAGTCAAAAAAGCACCAGTTCAAGAGGAAAAGCCAGTGGCATTAGGTAAGGCAAAGGATGAGCACTGAATATAAGGAGGATGGTAGCAGAATCATTTTTATACATTCAGATGGAAAATACTAAATATTGTTCTCTTAGGGTTCTATGAACAACTAAACAAGAAAGATACCTGAATGAGGAAATGAATGAAAAGTATCTCCAGAGACTACAAAAAGACTTTCTTTTTTCTCCTTTTCAAAACGAGTGGTCATTTCTTCCTGAGATGCTTCTTCATCTTCTCTTTCTTCTTGAAGCCTCTTCATCCTTTCCATTAAGGCTTCCAGCTCACTTAGAGAATCCACAATCTGGAATCACATACGATAATGTTGGGGGTTAGTAATACTAAAAATTGATTCAATAAACACCACTGTCTCCCAACGTTACCTTATTATGTACAACGATGAGTGCACAGTAACTGAGATTCTCAGTGACATGTTGGTCAAATGATATATCATTAGAATTAGATAAAAAACTTTTTTAAAAAATGTGGCTAGAATAGAAAAATATGTGAGGCAGAAAGTAGGTAGGTGAATTTTAGGGACCAACGGTTGGGGAGTAATGGGGTGGGAGACTGAAGTGGGATGTGACTATTAATTTGCTGTAGTTTCTTTTTTACACAATATAATGCTCTCAAATTTATTGTGGTCATAGCTCTGTGATCATACTAAGAGTGACTGAATTGTACACTTTGTAATAGGTAAGTTGGACATGTGAATTATTTCAATAAAGCTTTAAAAAAAAACTTAAGTGAGATTTTTACTAACTCCAAAGAGAAAAGGTTTATAAGTACATAAATAGGTAAGTAGATTGCTAGATCTTAAATCTAGAATTCTAACACCTGCCATATATTAAATTATAATTTACTAAAAAATTATACAGCTTCATATTTTCTACTTTCTGCCCTCTTAAGATATACTTTCCATTAGTTGTTCAAGCATCTTAGAGACACAGATATATTGAGATTTGCTGTACAAAATGTTCAACATTAAAAGGCATCAACTTGTAGTTTCTATGATTTGTAATAATACCTATTTGCTTTAAAAGCCTCTCTAAGACAAATCAGAACTATAGATACAGGTTAAGTTTTTACAGTAATAAAAATTATGTAAAATATTTCAAGTGTATAATATCCTATCTAGGAAAATAAATTCTCTCTACATTAAGAAGTTTAAGGAAATATAATAAAAGTTATGAAAACCAACCCCAAAGTTGTTGCCTGTAAGGGATGCATTTTCTATGTTGTTGTCATTAGCAAGATCACAAACGCAGAAATTGTTTACTGATATTATCCTGAATCCATTGGAGATTTCTGGATCTCTTTCTGGATTAATTCCACTACCAAAAACAAAACTTGCCAAAGCATGATAATGCGCCAGTAGGACCACAGCATGTACTAGTTCAGGCAGAGACCAATTATTTTCTCCAGTTTTGACAAGTTTCTGAAATGAGAAAGCAAATGGGAGTTTATATAAAACCACAGAATGCTACAAAGTAGGTTTGAGAAGAATGAACAATCTAGTAAATTTCACACATAAATTTATAGTAATTAAATTCTTTAACAATGTTTCACATACTAAAGATGCAGTTTTGGTCAAATAATATTACATTAAAACTATCAAAACTAAAATAAAATTATGTAGTGGCTTCTTCCAAATCCCTTATTATACATGGCTCTTCTGTTTTCAAAGAAGTTTTATAACTTTATGCTATTTTAATGATACTTCACAAAATAACACTAAAGCTAGAAAGGACTTAAAACACTTTCTAGCAAAGCCACTGATTCTAAGGTGCTTTGGAAATTATGTTCCACAAAATCATATGAAGAGGCAATTTACTAAGTCAGTGTTTAGGTATCCATTAGAAATCTTCTAATAGACACTGCCAGAGAAGACAAAAAAAATAGAATACTACCTTGCATTTGAATAAGAATTTAAAACATTTCAAAGTACTTTCCATGTTATTTTACTCAGTCCTTCAGATGAATCATGCAATTAATAATATGTGAAACCATCACTAATAGGAGTTCTTTTCCTCCATTTTCTCTAAGGGTGAATTCTCTCAATAAATCTACCCAGGATTCTTTCATGTGCTCACTTGCTTGCATGTTTTCTGTTTCTTTTGACAGGTATGTGGGTGGGTGGGGTCTCCTTTTCCTCTTTCCCTTTCATTGGGTTCAACTGCTGTGTTAAAAACACAACTACTTTCTTTTGCTTTACTTTTTATTTTTCCACAATATACATGCACATACACACCCAGAAGATAATTAAGTATACTGTCAAAAACTCAAGGAAAAGGTGAAAACTCATTTAAATTCCATCACACTAGTAAAACTTTTACATTTTAAATGGTTATAATTATTATATAATTATAATCATATACATCTATTTTTCTGCTTTTCAAATTTGTTATTTTGACATATCGACTTTTCATAAGCATCCAGTCATTTTGTTTTTTTACGCATAAGCTTGTATTGTACATCAGTGGATATACACAAATATTTATCCATTCCCATGCTAGTCATCAAATTGCTTCTCAGTTTTTGTTTTGCTTATTTACTACAATAAATTACACTCTTCTAGGAAATGCCCTACTCTATTTGAAAATTTCTTATTCTTCAAGACCTAGCTTAAATGTTACTTCTTCTAAGAAGCCTTGTAATCCTATTCTCTTTATTCATACACTCCTATGATATAATTATTTTCATTACCCCCTGCCTCTTGGCCCTTAGTCTCCAAGCACATCCAAGGGCAAGATCTTTATCCTGTTAGCCCACCAGAGTATCTGGAACAAAGTAATAAAATATAATATAAAACCAGAACATAAGCCTTAGAACAGTATTGTGCATCACAGATTTCCAGACAGACCATCAAAATCTAAGAGTATACTGATTGACATCAGCTATATTTGGTTAAATAACTGGCCAAAAAATAAAAATGTCCATAAGATTAAAAAAGGCATTTCTATACATTAGATATAAAGATTTTTAAGTAAGTAAGGCATTTAGTGATAAGTAATTTAAATGATAGCTCCTATGCATTGAATAGTTACCATGTGCCAAGCATAGAAATAGGAACAACTTGGGTTATGACCAGAATTTTAGTTTTAATTTATGAACAATCGAGTTATGACCCAAATGCCAGCCACTTGTGCTTCCAGATGGTCTCAGATACAGATTTAACCTTTAAAGAATCCTGGAAGGAACATTACATTCCTTTGTGAAGTTAATTGAGAAGTTCTGGACCAATGTCTTTCTGAGGACACCGAGATCTGCCTGGAAAAAAGTGTGGCCCAAAATTAAACAGGAGAGCGACTTTGAGGGCTGTATAGAGGAGCCTGAGCCGTCAATTAACCCTGTGGTTGATAACACTGTTGCCACAGCACAGTCCACAGGCTTGGCGGTAGATTATGGTGATGCTGAGGAACTGGTGGAGGAGCACGCAGAGGAACTGTCTACAGAGGAACTTTAGCAACTTCTGGCTGAGCAACAGAGAATGGCAGCTGAGGAAGGGGAGGGGGTATCAACAATCAGTGAGGCAAAGTTCTGAAATAAAGGACATCCTGAAAAAATGGACAGAGCTACAAGTATTTGTAGGGAAGACCCACCCAGACAGAGAAAAGGCCAATTGCTGCATTCACTTGCTTAATGACAATGACAATGACATAACGCAGAACAGTGTTAAAGAAAAGGCAGACAGTTTTAGACCAGTTTTTAGTTCTGAAAAGGTTGAGACCTGGTGAGCCAGAAGCAGGTCCTAGTGGGCTACATACTCTCCCAAGGAGAGAAAGGCCACCGGAGAGTCAGATTCCTGATGTTCTTATTCAAGGGGACTGTCCTTCCAAACAATAACCACCTTCCATTTCCTCCTCCCTTCCTGCAAGCCAGTGATGTCAACTCAAATGGTGAGTACAGTATGAAATTGCTGTTTCTGGTAAACTAGGCACATTTTATAACTTTTTGGTGGGTACATTAGGAAAATTATTGGTGTTTCTGGTAAAACACATAACCCTTTTTTAGAGGCTTGGAATGCATTATAGGTATTTCCATTATTTCTTATAGGAAAAATAGTCTCAACTTACAAGCAGCTTGAGTTACAACCAGCCCCTGTGAATGAATTGAGTTCGTAAGTCAAAAGTCCACTGTACTAAGCAAACTATATGATGACTTCCCCCTGTAGGCCTTTGATGGAAACACCTTTTGAAATGCAAGAGTTCTTAGTCACAGGCTCCTTCTCATCTAAGTTCTAGTTTCTAACAGTATTTAAGCATTCACACATTAGCTAACAAACATTTTTTATTTGCAAAATCACTTTTTGAATATTAAAACTCATTCAATCTAGATCCCTCACTTCACAAAGGGGGAAAGTGAGTCCTGTAGAAGTTAAAAGCACAAATTTAGAACAGAGACTACAAGCCAGGTGTCTTACTGATGTTAGTGTAATTTCTTTGTTCTACCTGCTGTTTCAAAATAGTAACTTTTCTCACAGCTACTCATCAAATTGGTAATACAAGCTGATTAGTGATTATGTAAGAAAGGTATTTGTACTTAAATCCAGTGACTTTCTAAATTAATCTTTGTTATACATATTGATATTTTCTATTTTTCAAGTTTCTAATATGCAAGTGTTTAAAATTAAGTCTTAAGAAAATACTTAACTCAGAAACACTAACATATTTCCTTTTTACTTCAAAGAAACAGTACCTGAATGTGCTCTTTTGTGATTAGCCAGGGTCGGTGTGCTAGCAGCTTATTTATTTCATTAAGATTTTTCAGTCTTTGTGGTACATACTCCAAACCATTCAACCATTCAGCAATACCTCCAGTCTTTAAAAATTCATCCACATGCATGTTTATTAAGTAAGAACACTGATGTCTAGCGGCAGCCTAAAACACAGAGAAAATGAATTTATTAATAAAGTAATCATGGTAGAATCTCACTCCATTATCTGTAAACAAATAATGGATGGAGTCAATTGCTTATTCATTTGTTTGACACAGTGTCTTGCTATACATAGCCCTGGCTGGTCCTGAATTTGCTGTGTAGCCCAGGCTGGTCTCAAATTTGCTAGCATCCTGCCTCAGCCTCCTGAGAAGCTGGAATAATTGTACATGATAACATCTGGCAATAATTTTTATAATCAATCACTCTTTTCTTATAGAATCATCCTCCTTCAAAAATGTTCATCATGCACATTGAGGCCATACTCTTAAGTGAGATAAGTAGGACATAAATGTGTAAATACTGAACTGTTCCTCTGCTGTGAGAAACTGAAAGTGTAAATGAGGACCAAAATATATAATAAATAATGTGAAAGAGGAAGAAAAGGTTCAAAGGGGAAGGGGAAGTAGGGAGGTGGGTGGGGGAAAGAAAAAATATGAGAATAGAAGGGAAAAATGGAAACAAAGCTTTTGTAAATAGGGAAGGGTGAAGAAGGGGAAGGGAGGGAAAGGAATGGGCAAAAACAAGAACCAAAATATATCACGTACGGGTACAAACTCCCAGGGATGAGTGTGATCATAATGTATTCCTAAAATGTACCAACGGATTTATGGGAAAAAAATGTTCATCATACTGTTTCAATAATTCTTGAATTACTACAGGAAGCTGGTATGTAAAACCAAGTAACTGTCACATAAAGGCAATCACTGCTTCATTCACAAACTGTTATAGATTAATCTAGAGCCCACTTTCTAAGTGTTTTAAGGAAACACATACTCATTTCATTACAAAAAATGTATACTGTATTCTATATAAAACACAGTAACACCTCATTAACTTGTATTCTGACAATTTATAATTCATGTTAATTTGTGCACTTCTCTTAACTCCTTTAAGATGACTGATATTAATCATATATATCCTCATTATCCTACCCTGATGGCACGGAAGCCTACTACACAGAATCAGCCTCGACGCAGACAATATAGTGAATCCACACAAAGACGACTTTTGACTTCTTTTGTTTCTATGGCTGCTTTTCAGTAAAACAAAATTATTTTATCTTTTCTATTCTCTATATCTTGGCTTTCTTTTAGTTTATAAAAGCATTCTAAATCCACTTTTAGCATAACTATCATTAAAACTTTATGCTAAAAGTATAGTCTTAGTTAAATTCACCATTTGATTAAACAAAACGCTGCTTTTTGCTGTTGTTTTATAAAAGTTCAGTGAGAATATAAATAGAAAATAATCTGCTAGATCCTGGCTGGCTCTGATGTCCTGCCAGCCCACCTGCACTCCTAGCCTCTCTGAATATGCACTGCTTTCATCACACTCTTACTCTTTTCTCTCTTACCAGTCCAACTTTAGCACTGTTTCTTTCTCTTCTCTGCCTATCATTACAATTTGTAATTCTCACCCCTATCACCTGTCAGTAGCATAACCAGTTAGTCAGTTTGTAATAAAATCTATACTTAGTAGTATTACAATTCACTTAAGAATTCTTCTCTTATACAGAGTCTCCATGAGTGCTGACCGATATTTTCCTCTTATTTAGTCAAACTAGTGATTATCTTCCTATGATAGCTAAGGAAAATGGCACAAACAACTTGCATTTTTATTAATAATAAAAAGACATCAAGAACAAAGACAACTTGTGGGATATTGCTTTAGGCCCTATAAATATCTTTAATCATGATAGATTAAATATAGAAAATTATTTTACTGGAAATCAAATGAGAAACATTCAGCAAAGTTAAGGTGTTTAAAGTACTCCAAATATGTTCAAGGGATTTGGCATTAAAAAAGGCCACAGGCTTCAATTCTTCAATCAATGAAGTAGATCTGGTTTACACACACACACACACACACACACACACACACACACACACAATTCTGAAGGGACAAAGAATAAGTGGAAGATGTTACAAGAAAACAGAAAAAATAGGAAAATGAGTACCTACCATTATCGCGATGTAGTGCCTGTATGGTAGAGGAAGGGGACCATCCATGCGCAACATGTAAAACTGGCTCCGCAAGAAAGACTCCAGGTACTGAGTGTGTAAACTCATAACCTGTGTGATATTGTCCAGACGACCAGACGTGGAGTATTCTTCCACGAGAAAGTTTGTACGTTCATCCACTGTGTTTGCTCGGACGACCTTATAACCGAGAAATATAAAACAAAGTAACAATTGAGATGTGTGCACATCTTTGGTTTACATGAATTTTGCCACTACTGAAGCAAATGAATATTTATTTCATATTAACACTAAAATTATGCAGTTGCTCATACTAGTAACAGACATTGTTTAAAAAGTACCATTCATTTTTGGCTCTGGTACTACAATTTATTAAACAACAAATGTTAGATTTTCAAATATTAAACACATAATTATAAAATTGAAGAAAAGAAGCTCCCATCTGTTCTATCAAGCATACTAGGCAGATTTTTCAGAGCTGACGTGCCTGGCCATTGTCACACCAGTTTGCAGTTAGGCAAAGCAGCAGCATTTGATTACATACATTTATAATTTAATATCATCAGTTTGTAAAGATAATCACATTGTTTTTAGACAAATATTTTCATTATCATTTTTTGCTAGTTTTTGTTATAAAACATTTTATAAAAGCTTTCTGAAGTCTCTGTAGGGACACTAGAACATATGATAATTTGTAGAAAAGCGTTAATTGAAAAATTAATAAGGATACTAGAATATCATCATTCCTAATTTTGAGCCTATAATATGAATTACTAAAAACAAGGTATGTTAGAATGAATATCCTCCATCCTAGGGGATCAAATGAATTTTCTCAAAAGTAAATTATTTATATGTAGCTTTATACACATTGATAGTTTGGTCATCACACCAAGAACTGGTTCTGAAGGTAGTAAAAGCCTATTAACAAGTTGCAGAAGGACTCAGTTCTGGGGTAGCTGATGGACTTGTACCATATAATTCTACTACTGTCTCACTATCATTTGTATTTTAGAATTATACTTCTGGATTTAAGATAAATATATTTCTTATTTCAGAGATAAACATCCTAGATTAAATTGAAACTCATGCACCTAGTTAATAGAAAAGTCTACTTTAAAATCTAGATGAAAATCTATGCTGTTATTAAGAAACTCCTTTTGTTCTTCTTTTTTTTTTTTTTTGGTACCAAGGATTGAACTTGGGTCCTTGCGCTTGCAAGGCAGGCCACCGAACTGCTGAGCTAAATCCCCAGCTCCCTCCTTTCGTTCTTTAGAACTGACTTCAGAGGGTTTTTTTCCTGAAAAATAATTATAAATTATAAAAAGGTACTACTGACTGAGGGAAATTCAATCTTGAAGAAAATATGTTTGAAAAGTATAAGTGTTGTGAAGAAATATTAACTATGTTGGTGTAAAAAAGAGAGGCAATTTCACTTCACCTCATTATGGAGCCATATGTACCTTCATTTGCCCATTCCTACCCCCCTTTTTTCAACTACAGGGACCAATATGACAGTTAAAACATAATAAAATCCAAATAAATTAAATAGAATTAGAGACAGAATTTTTTATTTGCTTTCTCCAGCAGAAACTTCTTATGTCTAACTGGATACCTAAGGTACATTAATAGACACATGATGCAATAGATCCTGAAAGCCAGAACATCTTCAAATTTATACTGTGAAAATGTGCTTTAGGAAGTCTTTTATATACATGAGGCAATCACTCCAGTAAGAAAAGTCCCTGGACTATGAGGGAAATGGGCATCTACACAGCAGCCTTTTGAACACATGTCCACCACCAGACAAGCTGCCGTCATTGAGCTCTCACATTACTGTGACATTGCATTTTCACTCAATAAGAAAGTCAAAAAAAATGTGATATTAAGATGAAAGAACTGCTGACTATCAATGACCTAGTGTTACTATAACTCTATTAGTCTCTTCTAAGACAATGCCTGGCACAACAGCCACTCTATACATCTTTGTTTACTAATTTCAGAACAACAGAAGAATAACCCTAGATAAATGATGTCTATGCAGTAAATGTATATATGATAGCTGTATTCAGTAGGCATTAATAACTCACTGAAGCAAGAAAAACCTCTCAATCAGTTGTTCTTAAACTTTTCTTAGCCCACATCCTCTTTGAGGAATCTGAGAAGATGTGCTCATTGCTGTCATTTTTCGTAGAAATATATTCCAACAAATTAGGTACAAATCTTGTTTTGATTGTCATTTCCCTCGTGTCATTTATAACCTTTGTTGCATTTAGCATGAGCTCAGGGTCATTGCACTGAGTTTTATCCCCACCCCTTTTTATTTTGAGATGGTCATGCTAAGTCGCTAAATTGCTCAGGGTGTATTTTACTTAGGATCTGCCTATTTCTCAAAGTGCTGAGATTTCAGACATGAACAACAGTGCCCAGCTGGCATCATACTTTATGTACTTTCAGACAGATAAACTTACTTCCTTCTCTGGAATAAAGGCACTTGGTCCTCTTGTCAAGGGTTGAGATACTCTGATTCTTTTATCCTGTTTTTAAAAGCAAAGTTAAACATTAATGATGACTTTCCAAGAAAAGTTAAACTGATACACATTATTGCTAAGATACTAAAATAAGCAAGGAGAATAAACAGAATTATTTGAAAGCAGAATAGGTTTTGGGCCTAGATTAAAGAAAGGCCACTGGCCATTTTGTGGTTGAAATAATGGAACGAACTCCTAACAATGCTGGCGCATGGACAGGCTCCTGGAAATGTCATTTCCCTCAGTCATATTCTGTCACCAAAATTTTTTATCCATATTTAACATGAATGAAAACCAATAATTTCTATAATAAAATATCTGATAGTATACTACTGTACTTTTAGACATTAATTTTAAAGCTAAATGACAGGTTAAACTGAAAAAAGGATTACATCAGCTTTCAAAAGCAGTGAACTGACTTGTGGGTTTTTTTGAATAAAATAGCAATAAGAATATTAATAAAAGGTTCTTAAATTCTGAGAAAAGTATAAAACAGTAAGATAGAGACTAATTTAAGAAATGGAGAATATAGTACAGCAATTCTAATAGTTTCACTTGCTATTCTATTAGTATTAATCATTGTCAAATGATATGCCTGAGTGCTAGATTTTGTTTTAAAACTATTAAATTTTAAAAATTGAAAATATTTTGCCATTTTTATTTAAGCATGACTATATATAAACCATGAGCATTACAGTTATACAGTACCACAATTCTACCCACAGGAATGTTTAGCAGCAGTGACAGTCAGAGGAAGGCTCTTATACTTTAAATCCCCAGCCAAGAGAAGAGACAGAAAAAATGACCACTTGATTTTATGTAACAAAAGCAGTTATTTTAACATTCTGAAAAGGCCTCTACAGCCATAAAATAAAATATGGACTATGCCATAGTTTACAAAAGTTATATAGACTGAGTAGGAAAACTGAGGAACATTGGAACACATATCTATTGCAAAGGGTGCATTAAGCTCAACCAAACCCTCTTGCCACCAAACCTGCTTGAGGAAACTGCTAAGCTGAGAAAAATAGCCCATGTAGTTCCTTATCTAAAAATGGCAGTATTTGATATGACTCTTCTCCTTAGTGTAGCTGATTAGACCAATATTCCAATCAGTAAAAATAGATGTTGAGGTGCAGCCTATGAGTAAAAAGTTGATATAAAAGTTCTACCTACACAGAGCTAAAGGTACTCAGCTGACAGTAAGATTCCCTCAGGACTATGTACAAGAGTTATGTGAAAGTAATGCAATCTGAAAGAAAGAGTATATCAGTCTATGACAGACTCTGGATATAAGGTAAGGAAAACAGACATGGTCCCGACCTTCATGAGCCTAGCACAGGCTCTTTATCAATTTTCAGAGTTCTACTGAAATAAACACATAATGATAATTTTAAACTGCTTAACTTTCACAAAGAACCAGTTATCTAGATACTTTAAAGCGATGACAACTGGGTCTTAATCTACTGGGGATCATAGAAGACTTCATGCAAAATGGATTAACTCAGAATTTCTAATATGCGTATTTCTTGCCTATTTCAACATATTTATCTGGAAAAAAGAATTTAAAAGAGATTAGTAGGGCCAAGAATTTAGCTCAGTGGTACCACACTTGCCTCGCAAGTGCAAGGTCTTGAGTTTTATCCCTGGTACCACAAAACAAACAAACAAATAAATAAAAGATTAGTAGATTTCTCTCCCTTGATTCTCTCTGTAAGTTATAGAAAATACAATTTCAAACTCTCTCCGTATAGCTCAATGGAAAACAATTACAAGTGATCATTTCAAGTGAAATAGGCCATTTAAAAAGCTGATTCTGAGGAAGAATTGTACATTTGTGGAGAAAATTTGTTTTAAAAATTATGAGTTGATATATTTACTAACCGAATTTACCATTAAATGTTTGAAATTGTTTTGACTATGAAAATATTTCCCAGAACAGATTATTATTTTCAATATGAAATACATTTTCATTATAGATGGAATCTACAGGCTACCACATTTTTTTGGTGGGGTACTGGGGATCAAATTCAGGTTCTTGAGCTTGCAAGGCAGGTGGCGGCTCCACTGAGCTAGATCCCCAGCCCTACCACATTTAGGTGAACATAACAACTCTTAGTTTTAGCCAGTTGATAAGAGAAATTGAAACAATTTCATTTCTTTCAACATGTATTTAGTTAGCAAACATAATTTTTTTGCAATATGATAGGCAAACAGCAGAAATGCACACAACTCTACATATAATATACACCAGAGCAGATGCATATACAAAGTGATGTAGGAAGACATCATTTTAGCAGTTATCATTTACTTAAGTCATTTCCACTTATGTACAATTTTCACTGTTACAATGTGATGAACACCTAACTTTTTTTTTTTTTTTTTTTTTTTTTTTTTTTTGTTTGGGTTTTTTTTTTTTTTTTTTTTTTTTTTTTTTTTGAGATAGGGTTTTACTATGTAGTTCAGGCTGACTTTGAACACACTGTGTAGCCCAGGCTGGCAGGGATCCTCCTGCCTCAGCCTTCTGAGTGCTGGGATTACAGGTTTGTGCCACCACACCCAGCTGGTGATAAACATCTTTGCATATAGATTTGAAGCATGTTTTGTGCTTGCCTTACTTTTCTTGTCACTGAGATAAAATACCTGAAATCCCAAGTTAAAAGAGGAAAAATTTACTATAGCTCACAGTTTGTAGAGGTTTCAGGTCATAGTTGGCTGGCTTCAAGTCAGGGTAGCATGGTAGATTGGCATTGCAGAGAAGAAACAGTTCATGGCAGGAAGAAGGCAGGAAGGCAGCAAAGCAGCCAAGTAGCAAGAAAGCAGCAGCAGCCTGTCTCTCCCTTTCATCCCTTCCAGGTATCCTGCCCTTTGGGTGGTGCTTCCTTCATCCAGAGTAGGCCTTCCTATTATCCACACCCAGAACTATGCCAAACCAATCAATGGACTGACTTAATAATCACACATCCTTAAAAACAGCATCACACACCCTAGATCCAGCCACCTCTGAAAAGACCGAATGAGGAGGTACATCTAGATACAAACCATAACAGTGGTATTTAAGATAGCTTCTTTAGGAAGATTTCCCAGAAGCAGATTTACTGGGGTTTAGGTAATACATATTTTTTGATTTCTTGTTGCATACTGCCAATATATTAACAAAAATGTTTTACTGCTTTATTAGCTGAAAAAATGTCTACCTAACCCCTAACTCCAAAAGTGAAAACCAACATTTAAAAATACTCTTGAGACCTTCATTATATGCTAATTTGTAGCAACTGTTCTTAAACAGAGATGTGGATCAGGTCTGCGTTTTTAATAATACAGTTCTGGAAGTGATGTATCATGTGGGGCCTGAGAGGAATCCAGTTGGGAAGCTATAGTAATAGTCTGGGATGGTAAGAGTGCAGGTCAGAGGCCATGTGACCTACCTAAAGGAACTGTGTATTCAATGAACACACAAGAAAGTAACATCATTTTAAAGTTATACCATCATTTATACTTTCTCAGTTGTATTTTTTAAATGGTGTCACTTTTGAAATGGTCAGTCTGATTCCTACTTCTTTGTGAGGAATGACTTTTCTGGTGAGGACCCTACTATTATCAAAATTGGCTGTCTTACATATTTATATAAAGGTAAGAAAACAATTTAAAAATGATCAAAGCAGCTCATAAATTCTCTAATCTCATTTTATTATAGAAACATCTTTGCCAGTCACTTTCTATTGTGGTATGATTTTGGTAAGAGAAAACACAAAAGAAATAGTATAGCACAAAATCTAAAAGATTTATTTTAAAATCATGAGCTGGAATTCTAGTCAAACCATACCTTTCCTCAGCTTTTCTTTCAAGTCCAAAATGCCTAAAGACTGGGTTCCATTTTGTTCATACACTATTGAACTTTTCTGAAGTCTATAAGTTTGTGTTGTCTAACATGAATGTGTTGCCATCAGACTAAGCCATGTGACTAAATTAAAATTAAAGTTAAAAACACGGTTTTTTAGCCACTACCCACATTTCAGGTGCTCAAAAGGCAAATGTGGCCATGCTACTATACAGACATTGCTGACATCACCTGCTGTTGCAGTTGTACTGCACAGTGTTGCTGTAGGTGCATCTTTGCACTTTTATTTTTGGTCAAATCATTATGAATTTTTATACTTTTTTGAAATGGTAAATGGTTGCTCTCCAGGTATTAGCTTTCATGGTTACACCTACTCAGTCCCAGAACCAAACATTTTTTGTAATTGCATAAATACACTGAACCAAATCAAGAGTAAACATAGATAGAGCCAAATCAGGAGAGGAAAAAAACCAGCCAGAGAATGCTTGTTTCATTTTCTGTTCATACCATAGTCTCCAGAAAAATTATCACACCTGCCTGCCTTCTTTTCTTCCTTTCCTTTCCTTCCTTCTCTCCCCCTCCCCTTTCTATAAATCCGCATGAGATACATACCTTCTTAAATAAGTGTGCAGTATACTGTTACCTATAAGCACTATATCATACACTGATGTCTGTAATTTTTTCATCTTGCATAACTAAAACTTTAAATCCACTGAATAGCAACAACCCATTTCCCCTTACCACAACTTTTGGGAACAACCATTCTGCTTTATGCTTTCTTATGTAAGCATACTCTTCACATCACAGCTGAGACTTCCAGCCTTTTCATTTCTGCAGGTGTACCTCTTTCTGGGCAATTTCCCCCTTACTCAGCTTTTACATGAACCACTCAACCTACTAACTTTTGTTCCTCACTTTTACACTCTTCCTAGATGTTCTTCACATTCCTTTCCTCATAAATATCTAAAATGAGCATTCTTTTCCATGACTTTCATCTTTACATAAACAAAATGCCCCTGAAATGTGATACCATATTGGAGGAGGATGGTGGAGCAGGTGAGGGGGAAATAGGGGCATGAGATGTAAAAATGAGCACACCACGCAACTCCTGAAGCTTTCGTTTTCAGCCATGAGCCAGTTCTCCTCTGCCCTAAGTCTGGCTGTG